ATGCTGCCAACAAGTAAGTAATAAAGAAGACTATGTATCTACCTTGCACATTACATACTATTATTTTTCCATTGCTTTTGCCCATCATATTTCATGCATGCCCTGATTCTGTTGTTAAGCGAACAGTTTGGAAATGACAACTTGAAAACTGACAGAGGGCTTTTTGTAAGATCAGTAGGTTAAATATCTTAATTTCTGCAGCCTTACAGCCCTCTGTAAGAGGAAGAAAACAGAGGCACTAGTCAGCATTGGCACAACTGCTATTGTTATGTCCTGATTTATGGCAACTGAGTGAATAAATAACCACTAAAAATCCGATTATTAATGCAACTAGTACTACCTAAGGAGCAAAAAGCAAAGCGTGCTGCTTATATACTGCCCCATAGTGCTTCAAGCACTCTCTGGGCGGTTTACAGGATAATTATGCAGGCTACATATTCACACCCAGCGAGCTGGGTACTCATTTTACCGACCTCGGAAGGATAGAAGGCTGAGTCAACCTTGAGCTGCTACCTGGGATTGAACCCCAGGTCGTGAGCACAGTTTTGGCTGCAAATGCCACCAAACTAAGAACATAAGAAATTCTTGCAGATTTTTCTCAAAACATCAAATTAAGAATAAAAGAAATTCTCCTATAGACATGTCTTGAGATAACACCCAACGTTTGCAAGAAAATATTGCTAAATCAATGCTGCAGAGATCCAAAAAAGATAGCCTCTTGTCCCACTATCCCATTGTAGAATGCATTTATTGTTCATTTTTAAAAACAATCTAGTAAAACAGTAACCCTGAAAAAATATGATTTTTTTGTCCTGATGTATGTCTGAGAAAATGGACACAAAAGCTTATATTAAAATATAGCAATTAATCTTCAGAGTGCTACAATGTGTTTGTCTCTTGTTTTTCTATTTCTGTTTTGTTTTTTGTCTGATATGTTTGCCCTGCGATACAGCACTTTCACGCTAGTTTTTACTTTTTAAAAAAGTAGTCCCAAATCTCTGCGCAATACTTGGAGCATTCATATTTTCCCACTATAATATAATCCCACAGTTAGGTACGTGTCTATATAAAACATATTTAACAAATAAATATTAAGTAGCCACTTCAATTTCGTCACATGGCATTGATCACCCTGCACAATGGTCTTCCGAGGGAGCAAAATGTTGCTGCTGGTCCTCCTCAACTCTCAGCGGCTTTTGATACTGTCGATCACGGTATTCTCCCGGGGAGGCTCTCAGGACTGGGGATCGCCAGCCTGCCATTGTCCTGGCTCCGATCCTTCCTCAAGGATTTGCCTCAGAGAGTGTAGCTTGGGGAGATGCTCTTTGAACCACTCCTAACAGTGGAGTCCTGCAGGGGTCAATAATCTCCCCTTTGCTTTTTAACATCTACATGAGACCGCTGGGAGAGGTCATCTGGAGATCTGGAGTATTGTGTCATCAGTATGCTGATGTCTCTCTCGTTCTAACCTTTTGCAGTGGATGCTGCCCCATCCCTTGAGCACTGTCTGTAGTACTGGAGTGGATCAGGGCAAACAGGGTAAGATTGAACCCAGACAAGACGGAGGTCCTCCAGGTGGGGGCTCCTGTGGTCTGTGGATTGGGTGACTTCCTTTCTTTTGCAGGAGGCTCTCTCTCCACCAAGGATGAGCTTCGCAGTCTTCTGGCCCTAGTGCTATTGATGGAATCTCAAGAGAGCCTCTGTGGTCTGTTCAGCCTATTTCCATCTCAAGCAGATCGCTCAGCTGTGTCTCTACCTTGACTGCAGGTTTCTCATCATTTTGGTCCTTGTTTTGGTAATCTCAAGGTTTGATTACTCCAATGCGCTCTATGTAGGACTGGCTTTAAGACTGATACAGAAACTTTAGCAGGTCCAGAATGTGGCGGCCAAGTAGTTATGGATTTGTTTAAACATCAACATATCACCCCAGTACTGGTTGCCCTGCACTGGCTACCAGTTCATTTTCATATCAGGTTCAATGCGGTGGCTTTGCCCTAGTAAGCCCTTAATGGTTTTGGATCTCAGGACATGGCTGACCACCTCCTTCCAAGTGGAACTGCCTGTCCTACCCATGCTTCCCAGGCTGGACATTTAAAGTTGCCAACCCCGGAAGAAGTTGGGCCTTTTCAGTGGTTGCTCCCCAATTGTGGAATGAACTTCTGTCCAAAATTTACCTGGCCCCTTCCTTGGTAACATTTAAGCAATCTTTGAAAATGTATCTATTCAGGCAGGCTTCTCAGTCCATTCCATCTGATAGCCGCTGATTATGCATATTCAACACCTGTCTTCACTGCCAGTTTTTAATGTTTATTAATATTGAATTTTTATTCATTGATTGGTTTAATTTACTGTAGTTGTTTTTTCGATCCTTTGCTCTGTTCATTATTTTATTTTATAATGTTGTGTCAATTTGTTATGTTGGCGTTTTATGATTATTAACTGTGTTTTGTTCTCTGTTGTACACCAACCACTGTGGCCCCAGGCCACATGTCGTGGTATAAAAGTGTAGTCAGTCAGTCAGTAAATGGTTAACACTGAGGAATCTAATCAGAGAATTTTACATCCTATTCTACATGGATAAGTGAGGAGGCATAAATATTAAGTAGCCACTTTAGTTTCGTCACGTGGTTAACACTGAGGGATCTAATCAGAGTCTTACATCCTGTTCTACAATAATAAGTGGGGCGGCAGAGGAATCAAGAAGCATTTAACAGTAACATTAAAAATTAATTTATTTACCTGCATTTGTTTTCACCTTTCCACTAAAAATATTGCTGAAGGTGACTAGCACCAGTAAAAGCAAACAAAATAATAACACCACAGAAATCACCACTAAAAATAAATTAAAAAATAAAACTATTACAATTAATAACCCATACCCATTTAAACAGTTTAAAAGGTCTTATTTTTGGATTGCAGCATGCAGAACTGAAGCTGCAGGAGTGGCTTCATCTATTTGAAAAGGATTCTGTAGCATCCAGGCACATGACAAGGTACCTTTCCAAACACTCATGCACTTCTATTCCATGCCTGGCAATCTAAACATGATGTCATAGTAGCCTTAATCTCAAGCACTTCTCCACCCATTCAACTTCTTGTTCCATCCATGTCAAACAGGAAAAACAGAGGAGCTTATAAACTAGAGAATGGGGCAAAATATGTCCTGATCAGCGTGGAAACAACATTCTATTCTACTTTCTTAAAGACTAACACATTTTGTCTGGCATAAGCTTTCATGGACATCAGAGGCAAGCTTTGTTACTTCTGTTACAACAGATTAATGATGACAGCTGCTAGAAAGTAGATCAACGTGAATTCAAAAATTGACTTGAGCCCTGTAATTTCTTTTTCTAGAAACACAGTGGGAATACATGTCTGACAAAGTTGGAGAATAGCAAGAATATTAAAGAAATTAGATAAAAACTTGTCAAGCTTGTTCTCAACCCTGCTGGTGCTAACATTGGGGGGGGGGAGGCTTTTAAAAGATAGTTTGCATAAAGTAAACACAGCATATAAAACTCTTATTAAAGAATACACTAAAATATTAAAGACAAGTAGTAAGGAAAAAAGAAGCACAAAAAGTGAAGGTTATTTATTAAACATTAAGATGAATATGAAAACTGTAACAGTATTGAGAGACTCTACATGGAGAAATCCTTGACTGTTTTATAAATGCAGGGATACATCTGCATTTGAATTAGCCATGCCTAGCCACATATTCAAAAGATACTACATAAATCTAGTTCATTTCAAGATGTATAAGATAAACTGTCATTCACGAGAAAAGCCTAAAATTATAATTGCATTTTTCATTGAAGATTTACACAGTTCCTCATTTAGTTCTGAAACATTTATGCAGTTCTCTTTTGGCAGATATGAAAGAATGTGTACCATGTGCATGTTTTGCACCCCAAAAATCTCAGTATACATATAGTTTTTCATATTTCACTGATCTCAGATTATAACTCCTTGTATTCTTGTATCATGTGCACACTTTTTTTTACTGCGGTGGCTAGAATCTTATTTGCTGTGCACCCTTTGCAGAACACTCTGCTCTCTACATGGATCTACTTTTCCCATCACCTGCACAAGGGGAAATTCACTAACCCCTGGTGTAAGTGGAAACCCTGTTGTTTTCAAAGGGGCTCTCTCTGGTTTATGTAACAGCAAGTCTGAGATTACTGGAGCAAAAGCAGAGTGCTCTACCTGTGGAGCCATTATGTTCTATGTTTGCAAACAGCATTCTACCTTTTGTGTTTCACTGTGTAAGAACATTTCTTTCATATGAACCACAATGTCTTGAGATACGTCTTGACAAGTGTCATGAAAGACATAAACCCCCAGCTTCACTTTTTTAATTAGGTAAGTTTCTTGATCATTGTATTCTCACAGAGCTGAATACAGATTAATTTTGCCTGTATTCTATACTCATCAAATTAAGATGGATGTGTATTCCACTCAAAGAAACATGAAGGAAAAACAGTGACTGGAGATATCAGGGTTTCTCTCATTATGATTATCTCATTTATTTGAGATACAGAGACCGGTGAATCAGAAGTGAAAGATTGTCCTACTAATAGTCACTATTCAAGCTATTGCTTTTCACTCAGAAAAAAGCAACAGAACTAGGAAGAGATGGGACAGATCCAGCGTGCATGTGTGCACACACACACACACACACAGAGAGAGAGAGAGAGAGAGAGAGAGAGAGAGAGAGAGAGAGAGAGAGAGAGAGAGAGAGAGAGAGAGAGAGAGAGAGAGAGAGAGAGAGAGAGAGAGAGAGATTGAAAATTTGATGCAACATGTTATAAAACTAGCAAATAGTTATTTACTGGGGTCAGAAAAAAGGTACATAAATGTCCCTAAATACTTAAGTATGCTAGCTGCTTACACTTTCCTGATAAACATTATTTTACTAATGATACATCAAGACAAAATGCCAAGACAGATCTCTATAAGGCATTGTCAGGAACAGGGAATAGACGAAAAATGAATCATACCGTAACGGACTCCAGCTTTTGTTTGACTTTCTGCATCCTCATAGATACTCTTGCAAAACTTGCAAACCGGTCGGCTGGAGACATGATGGAATCTTTTGGTAGAGAAAGACCAGCAGAATGGTTAAGAATTTGTGGGGCTCTGGATGATCTGGATAAATGTAATCCATTAAAATCTTTTACCAGCTCAGGATCCTGCTGGGCAACTGTAGAAGAAAAACATTTGAACAACATGGAGTTAGTTCATGCATAAAAAATGAACAAATCCCACAGGACATGGGCGCAGAGAAGGCACAAAAATAGGCCAGAGATATAGCAGATGAAAAGTTTTAAAATCCTTATTTCTCATTAACTTTCTGTACACAGAGGTTAGATATAAGTAAACGACACCATGATGACACAGACTGGTCTCCAGAAACCCCTTATCCAGCCTCCACTGCCAGAACTTCAACTACGGTAGTTTCTCTCAATCAAGCAAAGAGAGGAAGGGCAGGCAACTGTGGTCCATCAAGCATTCGTGGCCTGCGGATTCCATAATTTGTCACCACTTGCTATGCTGGCCAGTGTTGATTCAAGTTGTAGGAATAAAAAAAGATCTAGAGGGTATAGCCTTCCACCTTTGCGAGACAGACACAAGCTCTCGTCGGAGATAACACAGCTCAGCTTTTTGTGCACCAGTCTTGGGCTCATGCAGTCCTCCCTCCTCTCTTTTTAATCACCACAGCTGTAGGAAAACTAGTTTCTGCTTTGGGTCTTAAACTAACTACAATGCATGTAGTTAGCATGTGCAGTTAGAACCCACTTCTTGCGTTTTCATTCCATTAGGTTGTTTCTTCCACTAGGATACAACAGTCTGTTAATCCCTTCTCTGTTCTTACCAGATTCTCTTTTAAATGCTCCGGTATTTTATTGGTGGTAAATTTATCAGGGTTGTCCCTATGATATTTTTAAAGCAACTGACAAAGCAACACACTACAAAAAAGAATATGCAGCTTGCAATAACTGCAGGCCTCATCTTGCAGGGAAGGTTTAAAAGCACACCAAATGAGAAGAAGCCTCAGGCAAGACCTACGTTCAGGGTCTCCTAAGTTCTCCTTCGCAAACTCCATTCATAAAGCTGATTGCCAGGTTCTACTAACTTATGGTCTACCTCACTTTAACCACAGGGCTGTTCCAAGGCTGCTCATGTTCTTGAGCAGAGAACAACTGACAGTTGCCAATCAGCTAGCCCTTCTACCTTTTCTTTGCCCCAAAGCAGGAAGGAGTGGAGTTGGTCATGCCAACCTGCCTTCGTTTCAACTGCAGAGTTGGGGAGGGGGTGGGCATCGCCAAATAGCTGCGGAGATTATTTCCACTCATCTCTGAAAAACTGTAAAGAAGGCTTGTAGTTATTCACCCTTCACAGTGCCAGCACCTGCCACGGCAAGCGTAACTGCTGATGTCTGGATATAAATATGAACACAAAGACAAATTACCTTTATAATCATAAATGTATACAAGTATTGGCTGGTTTTGACCAAAGGCACAAAATGACACCATATGTTCATGTGGATGGAAAGCAACACCACGAAGAGGAGATGTGAAGGAAAGATCTGAATATACAGCTACTTGATCACCTACAAAGAAAAAAGTGGTAGACAGCTTTTAATTTATCAAACACAATTTGTAGGGAAACCCACTCAAATGGATCCCGGGGCAAGGAATGGTCTTCAACTTGTCATCTGAAAATTCAAGAGAAACATCCTGAATTTAAGAGATTTACTTACACCTCTCTTTCTCTTTTTGTAGGATTAGAAAAATATTTACACTATATCACAGAAGTGAGTACACCCCCTCACAGTTCATAAATATTTTACTATATCTTTTTATGTGACATCACTGAAAAAATGACACTTGGCCACAATGTAAAGCAGTGAGTCTATAGCTTGTACAACAGTGTAAATGCGCTGTCACCTCAAAATAATGTAACACACAGCCATTAATGTCTAAACCGCTGGCAACGAAAGTGAGTACACCCCTAAGTGACAATGTCCAAATTTGGCCACGAAGTGTCAATATTTTGTGTGGCCACCATTATTCTCCAGCACTGCCTTAAACCTCTTGGGCATAGAGTTCACCAGAGCTTCACAGGTTGCCACTGGAGTCCTCTTCCACTCCTCCATGATGACATCACAGAGTTAGTGGTTGTTAGAGACCTTGAGCACCTTCACCTTCTGTTCAGGATGCTCCACAGATGCTCAATAGGGTTTAGGCCTGGAGACATGCTTGACCAATCCATTACCTTTACCCTCAGCTTCTTTAGCAAGGCAGTGGCCGTTTTGGAGGTCTGTTTGGGGTAGTTCTCATGTTGGAATACTGCCCTGCAGCCCAGTTTCCGAAGGGAGGGGATCATGCTCTGCTTCAGTATGTCAGAGTACATGTTGGCATTCATGGTTCCCTCAATGAACTGTAGCTCGCCAGTGCCGGCAGCCCCAGACCACGGCACTCCCACCACCATGCTTGACAGTAGGCATGCCAGACTTGTCTTTGTACTCCTCACCTGGTTGCTACCACACACACTTGACACAGTCTGAACCAAATACAGTCAGCCCTCAACTTACGAACATCCCTAGATACGAACTTTGTGATTTACAAACGGCTCCATTGGTAAAATTTGGAATCGACTTGCGAACGGAGCTCGACCTACGAACGAGGTCGAGGCTCTGTTCGCAAGTCAATGCCATTTTTTGCAAATACAGCCATTCATAAATAGTGGCGGGCAAGCCCTGGGAGACCTCCCTGGGGGTCCCCGCTGCTGCAATCGGCACCTTTGGAGCTCTCAAAGGGCTTTTTCCCCCCCAACATCGGAGGAAGCCATTTGAGGCCTCCAAAGCCAAAAAGGCAGGGAGAAAGGGTGGGAAATTGAAATTTCCAGCCCTTCCTCCCTTCCTTTTTGCCTTTTGAAATGCTGGAACAGATTAATTCTATTCCCATGCATTTCAATGGGAAATGGTACTTCGACTTGCAAACTTTTCAACGTACGAATGTTGTTCCAAAATGGATTAAGTTCGTAAGTCAAGGTACCACTGTAAGTTTATCTTGGTTTCACCAAACCACAGGACATGGTTCCGGAAATCCATGTCCTTAGTCTGCTAATCTGCAGCAAACCATATGCGGACTTTCTTGTGCATCATCTTTAGAAGAGGCTTCCTTCAGGGATGACAGCCCTGGAGACCAATTTGATGCAGTGTGTGGCGTATGGTCTGAGCACTGACAGGCTGACTCCCCCACCCCCACCCCTTCAACCTCTGCAGCAATGCTGGTAGTACTCATATGTCTATTTCCCAAAGCCAACCTCTGGATATGATGCTGAGCACGGGCACTCAACTTCTTTGGCCAACGATGACAAGGCCTGTTCTGAGTGGAACCTGTCCCGTTAAACCACTGTCTGGTCTTGGACACTGTGCTGCAGCTCAGTTTCAGGGTTTTGGCAATCTTCTTATAGCCAAAAATTTTTTTTCAGATCCTCAGATAGTTCACTACCATGAGGTGCCATGCGGAACTTCCAGTGACCAGTCTGAGAGAGTAAGAGCAATAACACCTGCTCCCCCTTCACACCTGAGACTTCTGACACTAATGGGTCTCATGATACCAGGGAGAGAAAATGGCAACTTGAGCCCAATTTGGACATTGTCACTTAGGGGTGTACTCACGTTTGTTACCAGTGGTTTAGACATTAATGGCTGTTTGTTGCACTATTTTAAGGGGACAACACATTTACACTGTTATACAAACTATATACTCACTGCTGTACATTGTAACCAAGTGTCATTTCTTCAGTGTTGTCACATTTAGTATGAGATATACTAAAATATTTATGAAATGTGAGGGGGTGTACTCACTTCTGTGATACATTGGTAGGTACCAATGCAGTGCTATATGCAAGAGCCAACACTGTTTTTACACTGGAACAAGCATAGCATGCTGTATGTGTTTTTTTGTTAACTGTTTTCAAGATGTTCTTATATGAACATAGGATTATTTTTAGCACATTTCTGATTTACTTCAATAAGCGGGGCTAGTGTATCTTGAAATTCCTTCCAACAAAACAGTCTCCACCTCTCCTATAATTAATTTTGGGATATTCCTTGCAAGGAACACAACCACAGGGGCCATTCCCTTAACCTCAACAAAGGGGGCAAAACTGAATTCACAGACAGAGACAAGCAGAGTTATCCTTTACCTGTTGAAGCCAGGTACAGTGGTGCCTCGCTTAACGACGTTAATTCGTTCCAGCAAAATCGCTGTAGAGCAAAAACCTCGTAAAGCGAAATTTAAAAAACCATTGAAATGCATTAAAACCTGGTTCATGCGTTCCAGTAGGCTAAAAACTCACCGTCCAGCGAAGATCCTCCATATGGCGGCCATTTTCGGTGCCTGTATAGCGAGGAAGCTGTCCCTAAGCACAGCGGGGAGCCATTTTGAGCACCTGGCGGCCATTTTGAAAACCCGACGATCAGCTGTTTTGATTGTCGTAATGCGAAGAATCGGTTCCCAAAGCAGGGAACCGATCTTCGCAAAGCGAAAAAAACCCATTTAGACCATCATTTTGCGATCGCAATTGCGATAGCAAAAACATCGTCGTGAAGCGGATTCGTCGTAATGCGTGGCACGACTGTACTTGGATTTGAGACACTGCTAAACTCATAGTTCATCTTTGATTTATTGGCCTTCCCAGATCTGGGCAAAATCATAGTTTTATCTTTCTCAATCTTTTCCATTCCTGTCCATTTCAAACTTTTTACAGCTGCCTTCCTGTACTCCAATTTCATGTTAATCTAAGGGACAGTTCATCTTTGTCTCTTTGGTTTCAGAATTCTATGAAGTTGGTATACAGTTTGTGTGTATAGGAGCATGTATCTGCTCTACATTGAAGCACTGTAGATGTGGATATACGCAAATGCCAGCACATACTTTTTTCCATCTTACCACTATTTCCTCTTATCACCAAAACAATTTGGTAATACCACTCATTCTCCTGTTAAAATCCTAAGGAACACTGAACAAACTATTCAGTGTTCCTCAGAATATGCTTGTCTTTGAATTAAGTATAAGACTGATCATTTTCTTAAAAGAGAAAATGACATCAATCCAAAAGCTTTGGGGAAGCAGAAATAAAGAGGAAAAATGACTGGGATCCATGTATTAAAGTGCTTTAAACCAGCAGTCCCCAACCTTTTTAACCCTGTAGACTGGTTGGAGAAGGCGGGGCACCCTCCCGTTCTCGTGCACATGTACAGAGCACATGCTCTCTCATGTGGGTGCATGCGTGAAGGGCAGCGCAGCACTTGTGCACATGCGCGAAGGGTGACGCAGCGCTCGGGGGCACTCGTGCGCATGTGCGAAGGGGCAGGGGAGCACTCACGCAGGCGCAGTCACAAAAGGGCTGGGCGGGGGAGAGCATGCGGGGGTGGAGGGTGGTCTGTCTCCACGGCCCTGTCCGGCTCAGGACACGGACCGGCACGGGGCCGCAGACCAGGGGTTGGGGACCTCTGCTTTAAACTATACAACCCCCCATGAGTTAAAGATAGATATTTTCAGGGCTTGAACATTTTTAGAATCAGTCAGTCAAAAATTTCACCAGTCAGCATGACCAGACTATAGCCTTGCAATTTATGTTTAAACTTAAATTTAAATTAGGCACTTTCTACAAAACAACGAGTACAAACCCAAAATAAATATACCGGGACCTCTGCTTTAAACTATACAACCCCCCATGAGTTAAAGATAGATATTTTCAGGGCTTGAACATTTTTAGAATCAGTCAGTCAAAAATTTCACCAGTCAGCATGACCAGACTATAGCCTTGCAATTTATGTTTAAACTTAAATTTAAATTAGGCACTTTCTACAAAACAACGAGTACAAACCCAAAATAAATATACCCTCAGCCTTGGGTTGCTGTATTACCTGCGTGCCTGTGGGGTCATGAAGCTTGTATTTTTGAAAGCCTTTCTTTTGAATGTCTCCAGCAAAAATAAAACTGAAAGCAAAAACACACGGCCTCTTAAGGAGCCATGGTTCCCTCCCACCCCAGGATGTGTCCTCGTTCAGTTGAAATTGGGAGCAGGGAATCTCCATATTCTTCAGCATGGGACCATTCTACATTCTCCTGCAGAACTATATATCTATGTGCTACTCTTATCGTGAGAAGAGGGATGTTTTTCCTTTTGCAATGGGAAGGGGGAGGGGAGGTCTGCAGGATCAGAGGGGGGGGACTAAGGGTAAGGAGGGAAGGAGGGAGGGAAGGAGCTGTGGCTCGTCAAACAGCGTTTTTTTTTCACTCGTCACAGATGAGTGGACAAGTGGATTTTTCAAGCCCTGGATATTTTGTATCTATTTGGCATGAGGAGATCTGAAAAGTTTTAGTTAAATAGACTATAAATGCAAAACTTTACTAAATTTCCCAAAAGTTTAAAATAATGAGCTTATGTACCTGTCTCTGCATTCCAGACATATGCTTTGCCATCTTCACTTCCAGAAAAAAGGAATGTCCCACATGGTGTTAAGGTACTGCAAATTTTTTCTCGATAATTTGTTGCACCAATGTATTTCTTTGTGGCCATGCTGAAAAGTATTTTCAAAATGTTTAATGAATATAGCTATTGCTTCTATTATATTATTACATTACCATTTTTGAGAGCTGGATAACTGGAGCTATCACCTGAATGTTCACTTTGACATGAGCTTTAACTCTAGGATCTGGTAAGACAACATTCTTACACTGCCAGAACACCCCTCTCTCCCAACTGAGACAAAGCAAATACAAAAGTATCAGTTAAGGGAGTAGGATGCTCTGACCGCTGAAATTATTTTGATCAACACGGCTTCAAGGAATCCCTAGAAGCTAGAATTAGGCTACCAAAGTAGAAGAAAGAAGAACAGGCATAGCGGTAGGGCCACTCTGAGGCTCCCCTTCTCTTGAAAAAAACTTATAGATCAGAACGGGTTTGTACCAGTTCATCCTTTCGCTAAACAGGTGTTTGACACTTTCCAGCCACTCAGAGGCAGCACCCAGGCTTCCTTGCCCTGTCTCCTCCTCTGAGTGAACACCTGCAGGGGAGGCATGGTTGGGAACCGCCAAACACCTGTTCAGCTGATGGATAAACTGGCACCAAACACTAGTTCCGTGGTTCATGTCCATCTCAATTTCCCATTGTTGCCTATGTTAGCTGTTGATGCAGTCCAATACCCACTTGGGAAGCAAAGGTCTAGTAACCCTTGTATGAATTAATTCTGCTTCATTGGCTTCTGAAGGATAAACTCCTACTACTTCTGGAAATAACATGGCAATTCAGGCAAAACATAGAAAGAAGAGGGGATATTATAGGTTTGTACTTTAGAACAAGATACATGGTAAGTCACTTTGAGATACAGTACTTACATTCGGAGATCCATAATTCTCACAGTACTGTCCCTGGCATGGATCAATAAACGTCTTCCATTTGGATGAACTTCCAAGTGATTGATTGGTGTCATCACTTTAATGTCATCACTTTTTACTTCCTGTAAAACAGCACAGCAGGAAAAGCTACTGAAAACCTGGATTAAATTTAGTACACTCATGAATAGGAAGATCCCTTTCAGATCAGATCAACTGGCTGTTTGGTCAAGCATCCTACCAGATATTTATGGAAAGCCCACAAAACATACTGAGTGTGAGAAACCTGTCACAATGTTATCTTCCAGAGACTGGTATTCAATAGTACTCTGCTCTGCTTAGGGAGGTTAATTATATAGCTCTGCGGGCTAGTAGCCAGTGATAGCCTTATTTAATTATTTGAAGGGTTTAAAAATCATAAAAGCTTTTAAACTCTCTTTCATGGTACACTGGCATCACAAGGAAGTTTACAAAACTACAGAACATGTGAAAATAACTGCACATCCATATCAGGTAAAACCTAAATGTGTCTTCATAGTCATATAGCCTTATCATCCATGTATTTCACTAATCTTCCAATCTGCTTATATCCCCTAATTTGTCATTAATTCATTGGCCCTTATTACTTTTAGCACCAGTGAATTCCACAGGTAGCACTCAAACATCACAAAAGGTGAAATTCAAGAAAATTCCAGCTTGCATCTGTCCATGTCTGCTCTTTGGCTTATTCCTCCTCTGATAAGACAAAGGATTCATCTGGGGTTTCTACTTTGCTTAATTATGTTGCTTGTGAGGAGGGAAACACTTGCTTAAGCCACCTGTTTAACCATGACCTGTGTGACTACGTGCATGGAAAACTTTCACCAGATGACCCGGTATTCTAGAATGATGATAGAAGAAATAACAAAAGTTCTCCCTATTTATTTCTTTGCTATTATTGCTACTTATTGCCATTATCAATCAGGCCTTCCAGAGTCTGCAAGATCCAGAAGAATATTCAGACCCTATGCCTAATCTTCCAAGAACAGTTTGCTAAAACAATTTAATATACACAAATCCTTTAACCATGTTCTGCTCATAGCAATGACTTACTGTGACATGATCTCTTCTGTCTGCTTTGACAAAATAAATCCTGAAGCCAAGAGCTCAACTGAATATAAATGCATTTATTTTTATTACTCATTTGCTGCATTTACAATCTTCCACTAAAAGACAGTACTCAAGCAATGTTGTTACAACAGCTTACAGACTTTTTAAAAGAATAAAAACAGATACAGTAAATACATCAATAACAATATAACTCACAAATTTGTTTTCCCTAAGTTGCATTCAGTGTGATTAGCTGATTAAGGCAATAATCAATTTATTACTATCTAGAATAGATGTTTTGTTGATTTCATTTCCAATATTCTGTAAGTAATAACATCTGAAAGCAAGCGTACATTCGATTCCTTGTTGCTGCACCCCAGATATTCTGGCTTTAAGTCTAAACCAAATTTTCATAGCCACATAGTAAGATAAGTAAGCAAAAGATTAATCAGGAAGAGGCTGATGCACCAACATGGACTACAAATAAAACATTAAGTATCAGATATAAGTCTAACTTTGTATAAGAGCCAAGTTATATCAATACGTATATGGAACTTGCTGGATTTATTTAGCAATAATGATTGAACTCAATGCTACTAATCACATAACTACTATTATTAAGGAATTAACTCAAAGCAAGCCTCTATATTCCTACAAACCTACTTAGTCTGAACATCTTGTTATAAAAAAAGGCATGTCTTAAAACCTCTATTTCTGATATTAAAATTAAAAACATTAAGAACATATCCATATACCTTATCAATGCCCCAATGTTGGATCAGTGATTGAGAATTATCTTTGATGTAAGTATTCCAAACAATTATTAGCCCCGTGCTATCACCAGAAAACATGTGATATCCTGGAAAATAATAATTTGTTCACATAACAGGATGAAAAAAAGTCCTGACATTCAAATCACACAAACATCTCTTGAACACACAGACTTCTGGAAAAAACAGCTGATTTAAACTTCTTCCTTTTAAATCTTCTATTTCATCAAATCCCTCCCCCCCCCGCAATTTATTTGACAACTCATAATATCCCAAATTCTTTCCAACTCAATCTTGTTTCTTCTCACACTATACAGTATTCTCTCAGCCCTGACAACCACCACAATTATGTTTTTTCTGGCTATGCGAAGTGTTTCTGTACTCTATTAACTCTCAGATACAAACAAGTATTCCTAGAGCTTTTTACAGAACCCTAACAAAGTTACTCACAAACTACAACTTGCAGACTGACTCAGCCAGCAGAGCTCCTGAGAGGTGCTATTAAAAAACGTCATGTTCCCAAGATATGGGAGCTCTAATTAAAAACAAAACAAAATATTTTGCAAAATATCACTATCATTGGTAAAATAGAAAAACACCATGGCGCAATGTCCATGTACAGTGTAAACATAAACCTCATGGCTTTAAGGCTAAATTACTAAAGATGTAGAACCATAAAGCTAAAAAAAGGACTTGGTCCTCTACTCCAACTCTGCACAAAGGGGAGTCTACCACATCCTATTCCATTGTTGAGTAGCTTTATCACAAAGTCTTTCCTAATGTCTAACTAAAGTTCTAATTCTACACCTGCCCTCCAGAACATCAGCAAACAAGTTTAATTCAAATTCTGAATAACAAATCTAAAATATTTGAATATTGTTTTTTTTCCAGAATCTTTCCTTCTCCAGACATAACATACTCATATCTTCTACCCATTCTTCATTGGATCTGGGTTCCAGACCCCTCACCATTCTGGTCACTCATCTCTAGACATGCTCTAGTTTGTCAACTTTTTAAAAACATGGCATTCAGAGCTGTATGCATTATTCCAAATACAAACTGACAGCTACAGAATAAAGTAGAATCTTTATTTCTCATGATTCATATACCTTACGTTTACATTACCTCTTTTAATTGTTAAATAAAGAGAGGTTACTTACCTGTAACTCTGCTTCTTCAAGTGGTCATCTGTGAATTCACAGTAATGGGTTAATCTGCACCTGCGCAGAGATCTCCGGAATATTCTAGAGCTCAAACATGCATTCGCCAGGGACTGCGCCCCCCCAGTACACGTGGTCTACCTGTCCTGGCGATTGCCTCAGTTCCTAAACAGCCCACCGCTATATAGAATAAACAGATGTGACGGACAGAGGGGAGGACGGGCGGGAGGTGTGAATTCACAGATTACCACTTGAAGAACTAGAGTTACAGGTAAGTAACCTCTCTTTCTTCTTTGTGGTCTCTGTGAATGCACACTAATGGGTGACTAACAAGCTTACCTCTCAGGAGGGGAGACATCATGGAAGAACAGAAGACAAAACTGCTCGACCGAAGGCAGTATCCAACTTGGCCCGCACATCCAATTGATAGTGGGATGCAAGGCTGATGGAGTGGACCAAGTAGCAGCCTTACAAGTATCAGAGACAGGTATGCCTTTAAGAAAGACCGTAGAAGTAGCCACTGCTCTAGTGGAGTGTGCCTTAATCTCAGTAGGCAATGGTTTCTTTGCAAGTTCATAAATAAGTCGTATGGTGTGGACAATCCAACGCGAGATAGTTTGGGGGAGAGATATGAGTTCCCCTATGTGGGGGATGAGTGGAAAGAAAGAGTCTCTTAGACTTGCGTGCTCAAGAGGTGTTGGTGGCTGCGGGAAGAAAGTAGGTAAGATGATGGGCTGGCAGACGTGGAAACCAGAAACAACCTTAGGCAGAAAGGAAATATCGGGGTAGAGTGTGACTTTGTCTGGATAAAATTGAAGAAACGGGGATCCATTCAAAGAGCTGCAAGTTCGGATGCTCTATGGGCCGATGTGATAGCTACCAGAAACAAAACTTTAAATGAGAGCAGCCGTTCAGATGAGGTTGCGAGAGGTTCCAAAGGTGGCAGCATAAGGCGTTGTAGAACAGTATGCAAAGACCACCGTGGTGAGGGAACAGTTCTAGTTGGTCATAAATCAGCAACACCTCGTAAAAATTGTTTCAAAGTAGGGTGTTTGAATAACAAGGCAGCATCAGAGTCCCTGGTTTGGTGTGCTATAATTGCTGATAGGTAAACCTTAAGCGTAGATAATGAAAGGTGACAGTGAAAAAGATGAGAAAGGAAAGTCACTACTGTAGAAAGAGTAGTTGGGTTTGTAGGAAGGTTCTTCTGATGTGCAAATTTAACAAATACAGACCATTTATACTCATAAAGCTGTTGAGTAGATCAGTGGTTCTTAACCTTTGTTACTCGGGTGTTTTTGAACTGCAACTCCCAGAAACCTCAGCCAGCAGAGCTGATGGTGAAGGCTTCTGGGAGTTGCAGTCCAAAAACATCTGAGTAACGGAGTAGAGGATTCCTCGCATGAGCCAGAATAATATTTAGGGAGCGTAGATCCTTCAGGCTGTAAGGTGGTCGTCGGGATGGTAAGTCTGTCCCTGGTGCTGAGTGAGAAGGACGGGTATGAGCGGGAGACAAATGGTGTCAGATGCCATCGACTGAAGCATGGTGAACCATGGCTATCTTGGCCACCATGAGGTTATGAGCATGGCATTGGCGCGATTCTGCCGCAGCTTGATGATGGTTCGTAAGAGAAGAGGAATTGGAGGGACGAGGTAAAGGAGGTGTGAGGTCCACCTTCCCATGAGAGCATCGCCAAGGGAGTCCAGTCCTATGCCTGCCCTGGACAAATATCAAGCACATTTGGTGTTGTGTGCAGTGGCGAAGAGATCTATTTCAGGAAGACCCCCATCCGTCACAGAGCTGGAGGAATATGGAATCATCGAGAGACCATTCGTGCATCTGTGAGTGATGTCTGCTGAGAGTTGGTTTTACTTATTCGATTTTACCCCGCCTCTCTAGACAGTGTCTACTTGGTTGTGTTGGGAGGGAATGTGGATCACTGTGGGAAAAACATGGCGGTCTAGGCACCATTCCCAAAACTGAACAGCAAGGTACAGGAACTGTAGTGAGTGTGTTCCACCCTGCGTGTTGATATAGTAAAGCGCTGTGGTATTGTCTAACGTTACCTGTACGGTGTTGCCGGTAATGAGAGGCTCGAAGGCGTGGAATGCTTTGTAGATCGCCAATAATTCCAGAATGTTGATATAAAGAGTCTTCTCATAAGGAGACCAAGTGGTATGGCCTCTGCAATGTGCACCCCAGGTGATAGGACTGGCATTGGTGGTAATTTGAGTTGTCAGTTGGAGGGGTGCAAAGGGTCTGCCGAGAAAGAGGTTGGTTGGAGTAATCCACCATATCAATTAAGCTGCAAGTTCGGGAGTGACCTGTAGGATCTTGGTAGGCAGGTCGGAGAGAGGGTTGAAAAGGGAAAGAATTGAGTGTGCTGTATGACTGTGATGGAGTGAATGAGGTCTAGAAGGGGTTGAGACTGAAGAGCAGCTACGAATGCATAAGGCTGAAAATATTGGATGAGAGAGTGTATCTTCAGTGCTCTTTCTTGAGGGAGGAACATCCATGGGACCCGAGACTCTAGGATGGCGCCTATATAGGTGACACTCTGTGAGGGAGTTAGGATGGATTTGTGCATGTTGACCCTGAGTCCCAGATCCACTAGGAGACAAAGAGTGAAAGTGATGTCGCGCTGAGCTTGAGAGCCTGACGAGGATACTAACAGCCAATTGTCGATGTATGGGAACACCAAGATCCCTAGAGTGCAGAGATGGGCTGCCACAGGGGACATGTACTTTGCAAATACCCGCGGTGCGGTGGAGAGGCCGAATGGTAGGGCTTTGAATTCGTAAGTGCTGTGGCCGAGAGAATCGTAGGAATTTGTGATGGTCCTGTCTGAGATGTGGAAATAAGTGTCGCTCAAGTCTATGACAGTGAACTAGTCTCCTCCTTAAAGAAGAGGAAGAATATGTTCTAACATCACCATGTGAAAACGTCTCTGGAGAATAAAGTAGTTCAGGTCCTGAAGGTCGAGGTTGGGCCGGACACTTCCATCTCTTTTGGGGACAAGGAAATAACAGGAGAAGAAGCCTGGGCCGTTGTCCTATGGGATGACTACCGAAATAGCATCCTTCGAGAGGAGTGATTGAATCTCTTGTTCTAGGGCGTTTGATGATGTAATCAGGACTATCCTGGGAGGTGAGAGGGACAGAAACTCTATTGCATAATCAATGGATATTATAGTCATGACCCACGAATCGGTGGTGATGGACACCCAAGATGGAAAATGGGCTGCTAGACAGATGGTGGTGAATAGTGGGATACGAAGAGAGCAGATCTGGGCGATAGGAGAGTCAAATATTGTGGAACAGGCGGCTGAGACTCGATGGAA